AACCCCAGTCCTCTGCAAGAGCAGCCAGTGCTCTTAACTGCTGAGCTGTCTCTCCAGCATCCTTTGTAAAGTTTTTAAATAGCAATATTCTTAGATAAATATTTGAAAAGGAAATAAAATAGAATTGGAAAAATTTACAATTACATAATAGTACGCATATTTCATCTTTGAAATCTTAATGGGTTAAATATTTTATTTAAAAAAAATTTTAATTTATGTATATGAGTGTACTACCTTCATGTATATAAGTGCACCTGTGTCATGCAATGCCCAGAGAGGTCAGAAGAGGGCTTTGGGTTCCCCTGGAACTTAAGTTAGCTGCTATGTGGGTGCTGGGAATCAAACCCAGGTTGTCTGCAAGGGCAGCTGGTCTCTCTCTCTCTCTCTCTCTCTCTCTCTCTCTCGTCTTTTTGAGACAGGGTTGCTGTCCTAGAGAACTCACTATGTAGATCAGGCTGGCTTTGAACTCAAGAGAGATCTGCCTGCCTCTGCCTCCTGAGTGCTGGGATTAAAGTCCTGTGCCACCACACCTAGCTCAGCTATCTCTCCAGCTCTGGGTTAAACACTTAATAATCTTAATAATAGGTTTCTAAAATTTGTATTTATTTTTAAAGATTTAATTAATTTTAACTATGTATATATATATATGCGTGTGTCTGTTGGTTTTCACACATGAATGCAGCACCCTCAGAGGGCAGAAAAGGGAATCAGAACCCCTGGGGCTGGAGTTACAGGCAGTTCTGAGCTGCCTGGTATGAGTGCTGGGAACCAAATTCAGGTCACCTGAGGTGCAGCAAGCACTCTAACCGCTACGCCATCTCTCTAGCCCTACATATTTTTTTTTTTATTCTTGAAGTCTAATAAACTTTGAGAGAAAAAACAATTTTAATCTTTTTGAGACAGAGTGTCTCCCTGTAGCCCCAACTGGCCTGGAACTTGCTATGTAGACCAGGCTGGCCTTGAACTCACAGAGATCCACCTGCCTCTGTCTCCTGAGTGCCAGGTTTAAAGGCATGCACCACCATGTTCTTCAAGAAAACTTTTTTATGTTTGTGCATATGAGTGGGTGGGTGGGTGCTCGTGTTGAGGTGGTCAAAGGATAATCCATAGGCGTCAGTCAGTTCCCCTCTTCTACCACAGGAGTCCCAAGAATCAAACTCAGGTAAGTCAGGCTGAGTCATCTCACTAGCCTAATGAGACAACTTTTCAAAACAAGTCGAATGGGCTGGAGAGATGGCTCAGTGGTTAAGAGCACTGGCTGCTCTTGCAGAGGACCTGTGTTCAATTCCCAGCACCCACATGGTGGCTAATAGTAATCCGTAACTCCAGTTCCAGAGGATTCAGCTAGATAATCACTTTGTCACTGAGGAACTCTCTACAGAAGAGGACAAATAGGCTGGTGAGGTGGCTCAGTGGGTAAAGCATTTGCTGTGAAGCCCGAACTTGAGTTGGATCCATGGGACCCACATGGTAGAAGGAGAGAAGTAATGCCCACAAGTTGTCCTCTCCCCAGTGCACGTGCCATGGTACAGATAAGAACTGAAACAAACTGTTTTCATTAACGTGACGAAAGCCAGAAGAGGATGTACACTAAGCTAAGCTGAAATGTTTAGAGGTTCCCTTTAAAGGAGATTCAGAACATTTCAAGACATTCCACAGTACGAATCATTTTCAGCAGGGATGGGTAACAAGCTGATTTTTTTTTTTAAGCTGATTATCAAGCATGACTAGACCATGATTTAGAAACATTCCAAATCCTACTTTCACCCACAAAAGCAGAACTTTGTGTGCATAATGAGACTAGCTGTGCCTCACACTTTAACAACCCTAACATGCTCAGTGTGGCGTGGAGTAGCTCTGTAGAGGCCTGCTAACCAGCTGCCACCCCTCCAGGGCCTCTGCAAGAGCTTTCGTCAGGTATCAGTCTCCTCTAGGCCCGTAACACCAACTTCATAGCAGAGAACACACTTAGGAAACACAGAACTGACAACAGGAAGTATCTTTTGCTTTCCAAATTTTGTCTGTGACTTGGATAGAGCCATTTCCTGTTCTGTGGTAGCACGTGCTGAAGATCACAGCGGTTCTGACACCACCCCACATCAAGAACCTTCAGGAACAATGTGCCATTGCAGAAGGGAACACACAGACTGTGTTCAGCACTTCCCTGGCACAGTCCCATTTGAGAGAACCACTCCTGAAGGTGACCTCGATCTGAAGGGTCAGTGGAAGAGCACACACTCTGAACAGTATTTTTCTCATAACTTACCTTGGCAACCAACATTTGCTGCTGATTTTCAATTTGCTGCTGTTGCCTAGCTGCCATATCTTGAAGTTCTGAGAGGGTAAGCTCAACACGTGGATTCCCAACCTACAGAGAACAGAAAGCACTCATCAGCTGCACTTCTCTCTGCGGAGCCTTTCTCTAGTTAAGAACTCATTCACATCTGGATTTATATAGGTTTCCTGGAAGAGAATAAAATTTAGTTTTTTTCTCATATGGACTACTTTTTTTTTGATCTTTTTGAGACAGGGTCTCCCTGTAGCCCCAGCTCGCCTGGACCTCTCTATGTAGACCAGGCTGGCCTTGAACTCACAGAAATCCGGCATGTGTCACCACACCAGCTTGTTGACTACTTTTATTAAATATAAATAACAAGTATAATTTTTTTCTAAAGATTTTCCAATGCATAAATCTCAAACACTCTATTTAATAAGGGGCTTAACATACAACCATTTGCAAATGTGTATCATAATTGGCATTCTTCCGTTTGGATCAGGGATTTAAAAGGTATATTTGAACAAACAGGTCAAATGCTCAAGGACAAACTAAAAGGTAAATGTTCAAGTGATAAGCAAGACAAAAGCCATTTTTCCTGTTACCTGCTCTTGAGAAACTGAAATACAAAATGGATCTAAAATGCCAATGTTCATTAAAAACACCGTGTATGGCCTACAGTAAAACTCACCTACCGTCTGACAGAGTACACGTGTAAAATGAATGTAGAAAGGTAGCACCTAGGGAGGGGCAACTGGCCATAGACCTTCCCATGCATGCTCAGAATTCCCACTTAGACCGGCATAGGACCCTCCAGCCCAGATGAGAAGACAAGTGGACACAATCCACTCTGTGAGGCAGAGCAGAGAGCCTGTGCGTTTAAGCTTTCCCACGGAACACGATTCACTGAACCCTGCCATGCATATGATGCACTCTGCTAGATGTGTTGCACATACTATCTGTATGCTGGGTGTGAGGATCCTCTAGGCAAGGCGCCATGGGACAGGTAGCAAGCCAAAGGAGAAGCAGAGCTTCTTTCTGGTGGGTCTGCCTTCCTCCGAACCCTTCAGTTCTAACCAGGAAGGCCATGTGGTCCCTGCTCAGACCCCACTTCCTTACTTCTACATTCACACATATCCTTAGGACCCCTTTACCTCCTGGCAACCTTAAACCTCTTATAGTTCTTTTTTGAGACAGGGTCTCTATATAGCCCTAGCTGGCCTGGAACTCACTATGTAGACTCGGAGATCTGCCTGCCTCTTCTTCCTGAGTGCTGGGGTTAAAGGCATATGCCACTCCACACATCTGGCCTCTTGGAATTCTTAACAGTTGGGGCTAGGAGAGATGGCCCAGCAGTTAAGATCACTGACTGTTCTTGCAGAGCACCGGGTTTGCTTCCCAGCACATACAAGGATAACAACTGTCCATAACTCCAGTTCCAGAGATCTGACACTGTTTTCTGACCTCCGTGGGCACTGAACAACACGGGTGCACTTACAGACATGCAGGCAACACACTATTACACATAAAATAAAGATAACAAAGTTTTTTTGTTTTTGTTTTTGTTTTAAAAAAGAATTCTTAACAGTCTGTTCTAGCCTGTGCTCTATCTACTAGCTCCAGGTCTTCCTAAACTTTTCTTTTTTTTTTTTTTTGAGACAGGGCCTCACTATGCAGCACTAGCTGGCCTGGAACTCCCTATGTAAGTCAGACTGGCCTTGAACTCAGAGATCCATCTACCTCTGCCTCTAGTGCTGGGTCAGAGGTAGGAGCCAGAACGTTCAGCTCTTCCTAAACTCTTACGATATTTGAGCATATTCTTTTTAAAAAATTATTTTTTTGTGAATATGAGTATTTTGCCTGCATGTATGTAAGTGCACACGTGCATGCAATGCCCTTGAAGTCCAGAAAAGGGCAATGGATCCCCTGAAAGTGGAGTTAAAAGATGGTTGTTAGCCACCATGTGGATGCTGGGAATTGGGATTTGTTCCATGGTCTTACCTGGACCTTTCATACTTTTTCTAAAGGTCCTGAGCAATGTAGAATCAGTCTCTTTTAAAATTAGATATTCTACATTTATTTATTCTCAAAGATTTATTTTTATTTGTTGTGCATGTGTGTATATGTGTGTGTGTGTGTGTGTGTGTGTGTGTCTATAAGTACATTTGCACAAGAATCCACAGTGGTCAGAAGGCATTGGATTTCCTAGAGCTGGAGTTAGAGGCAGCAGTGAGCTGCCTGGTATGGGTTCCAGGAACCAAACTCTGGTCCTTTACAAGAACAAAAAAGCACTCTGAACCACTGAGCCATAGCTCCAGACCTCCCTCATTCATCCATTCATCCATTCATTCATCCATCCATTCATTCATTCATTCATTCATTCATTCATTCATTCATTCATTCATTCATGTACGTGTGCCACGGTGTACAGGTGGAGAACTGAAGAATCAGTTCTCTTCTGCTACCATGTAGATACCAGGATTGAACTCAGAGCCAGGCTTGGCAGTAAGCACCATTACCCTCCAAGCCACCTCACCAGCCCATTAAAAATTAGGTATTTTAAACTGACAAGTTACAGAAATTTCCATTTTAAAAGAAATTTGTTCTTAAAAACAAAAAAGGAAAGAAGCCCGCCAGCGCGGGGAGAGCAGAGGCGAGTCGGGTTGCCAGTGGCTCCTGCCACACACCGGGCCGTGGGCGGCGGCAGAAGGTCCCCGCCTGGACAGTGCGGACTTCCTCCAGCCTCTCTGCACTCATCTCCCCAGCATTTTCTAACAAAGATGCGGCAGCTCAAAGGGAAGCCAAAGACGGAGACGTCCAGGGACAAGAAGGAGCGCAAGCAGGCCCGGCGGGAGATCACGGTGGTGCTGCCCACGCTGGCTGCGGTCGTGGTCCTGATTGTCATGTTCATGTATGTGGCCACGCGCCCTGCAGTCACTGAGTGAGCGCCTCCACTCCTGTGGATGGGGAGTGGGAGGCAAAGGAAATCCGACTTTCCTCTGCACATGTTCACAGTGCTGGGTGCAGGGCAGGAAAGCCCTGTCTTCTCTGGTCTTTGACTTGATTAAAGTTTCTCTACTTTTCTTTGGAGGGAATAGGGAACATTTTATCAGTGAATGTGCCATACACCTGATGGTCCACTTCATGTGCCTTTCAGACTTCAGAGCAGTGTGTCTGTGTGTTTCTTTTTCTCCTGAAATGGATGCATAGCGTGCCTGGGGGGAGGGCTCTGGGTGAAGCTGCTGAAATCAAGAGTTGCCCTTGATCCATCCTCTGGGACATGTTTTCTTTTTCCCGTTCACATGTTCTGAAGGGACAGTGTTTCTTCTCTGTGCTTAATGTGATATGAAATATGCTGACTCAAAGTGAAATATTTATTCTTTGAATAAAGGAGATAATAGCCTTAAAAAAAAAAGAAAGAAAAAAAAAGTTCCTCCAAATACAGACTACTGGGGGAGAAAAGACATGAACAGACCCACCCAGAGTTGAACCTAGTGCTACACTACTGATCTGCCAGGCAAGATGTGCCCACTGGTGCAACAGTGACACAACTGTTAGGAGGGTGACCGACGGCTTTCAGACTGATTTGAAGCCCACGCCACAGGAGGCAATTCAAGCCTGGTACTGTAAAGCTGGTCAAAAGCCCGTGGCTGGGGAAGTCCCAGGCCCTAGTGGGGAAGCTACTGCTGTTGTTTTGCTAAATGGACACACTGCACCGTCAAACTGCCTTCTACACACTTATGTTTCTGGCCACAGCTTCACGCTGCTCTCAGCTTTGGTCACAGAAGCCTCTTTTTGCAATGGGTGGTGGTTACTGCAGACTTGGAACTGGTCAAAGTGCTGAGAATAAGTGGTTGTTGAATGTTCAGTCCTAAATACGGCACCTACATTACCCCTTCAAGGCTCAGGAAACACTGTGCAAGAGGAGGCAGAAAGAAGGTAAGAGCTGGAGGACAGGGAGTTGTGTAGAACACTGATTTGGGGCCTGCCATGGCCACTGTACTCTTAGATTCATAGCCCCTGTGATTTCTTGTACAAGAACTACTGGAGATGTGGCCTATCAGTATCCTTTCAAGAATGGCAAAGGGGTCACGAGACTCCACCCCTCCTAAAGCTAATGACAGTTAATGGTTGCTGGGGGAGAGGCAGGCATTTTCTTTAGTGGTGTAGCCTCTGGTAAATTGCCCATGCTCCTATAAATAACTCCTTATTAGTGCTCATGTGAGCAACTCTAATTAAACTCACTGGGTCACCAAAACAAAACAGACACGAAAGTAGAAACAGACAGATTGGAGAGAGGCAGGGAATCATCAGGTGTGGGGTGGGACAAGAGGGGGTAACTGGGAGGGGGTGACTGACAAAAATACATTACATACATGTATGAAAGTCATAATAAAACTATTTAGTATAAATAAAATATGCTAATAAAATGCTTAAAAATTCTACTGAAAAAATTCTCAATCACTACAACAAAAGTTATTTTTTCTTTCCTTTTATACTCTTCATGGCTTTATTATCTGCCTCTATCATTTGGTAAAAGTGCCCCCAAAAAGGGACACATATGCATGCGTGACATTCTTGGTGTCTTCAGTTGCTTTCCTGGATGCAGAGCCTCAGAAAGACACTCAGTTATACACAATTCATAGGCAAGTGTTTCACCCAACACACAGCAGTCTCGAGTTTTCTTTGCACTTGCATTTTCACTGTGGACAAAACCAGCAGATCAGCAGTGAGGATGTGGACTGTCATTACACACTCATAACAGTGCACTGCTCAGGTTGGCACCTACGCCAAAGCTCATGAAAGCAGAACCCCAGGGTACCACACTCAGCCAGTCTCATCACCATGGAGACTGTGAGGCACGGAAATGAAAAGACTCATAAAACCGTCCTCCCCTAGACACTGGGTCCAAATCAGAGTTAGATTTTCTATACAGTATCATTTCAAACTTTATAAAAGTCCCAAATAAAAATATCAGTTCACAACACCCCACGACAAACAAAAATAAAACTTGTTTCTATGGCCCTAAGTGCAAAATTAGAACTATCAAAGAAAAAAAATGCAAGACATATATTCTAGTCCTCTTCAGGTAC